GAAGTTGTAGATTCCCCGTCCCTGGAAGTGTTCAAGACCAAATCCCTGAGGAACATGATGTAGTGGCTGATCTAGTGGGTGGCAGCCCATGGCAGGAGGACTGGAACTAGGAGATCTTTAACATCCTTTCTAACCCAAGCCATTCTATGATTCTGTGATTCTGTGATTCTGCGATTTCTGTTTACATATTTTTTTGAGAGTATTTTTTCAGAGATTTTGCAATTTGATTTTTTTCTGCAACCGAAGTGCAGCATATTTACTTAATGTTTTTCTTGTTATAAAAAAAGGCCATGTAGATTATAATGTTCAGTAGTCTTTTTGCACTATATTGTTACCTCACTGTGAGAAAACAAGATTAAAGAGATGTACAATGCAGCTTTACAAAATTTTTTCTTGTGGGTTTCAAACAAATGGTTGTAAAGTGTCTGCTTTTAGTACTCCTCCAAATGCACTTTGTGTTCCACCTACTTTGTCAAAGCATGGTTTATGTCTAGAATGAAGGAACAATGAGGAATGAATGGAAAGAGCAAACAAAAGTAGAGGAAAATAAATATTCAGAAAAAAAAAATAGAGAAAGGATTTCGTTTGGAGAGAATAATAGCATAATTGGACCTTAAAAGGATTAATTAAGAAGGTGAGTTAACGCCAGTGTGGACCTCAGATACATGTAAAGCAAAATGGAAACTTTACTTCAATAATGCTTTGAATTATGCTTAATTTTAGTTTGGAATGCAAAAACAATAAAAATATGTTTTATTTGATTTATATTACCTAATAAGTAAAATTCTTCTTCCATTCCAATGAGCTTATGAACGCCTTGCTCATTTTCTATCTGAAAAGTCAAGAGGCTTGTTCGCATGTTCCACTTATTTCTGTGGCTTACAGCCTTAAGATTCACTGCTATATAAATTTTCATGATGATTCTCAAGCATGCATTTCAGAGACTGTCTAGCGTCTTCTCTGAGCAGAACACCATTTTTAAAGTTATATTATTCAATTCTGTGGGTAGCTCAGTTATTTTATGCTGTAGCTTCTCAGAGGAATACATTCTCACTCTATTGATATACATTGCTATGGACAAATTGCAAATGGCACTTTTGCCGTGCTTCTCTCTGACAGTGCCATGCCTTCTGCAGCTGCAGGGAGTTACCTCTGGACACTCCTTTCCTCTTTGCTCATGCAGTAGCATCCAACATAAGAAAACATTTGGCTGATACACTTTAACTATTGTATTTATTCTTATGTGCTCTACAAAACAGTGCCTCTCCCTCCAGCCTCACAATTCAAAACACTGTACTTCCAGTAAATTCTTAGTTTTACAATAATATCTTCTTATATATTCACTTCTTGTGTAGGTAACTAGGCCATGCAGAACAGGATGTGCCTAATAAGAAATGGAAACTTTTTCTCCGAATTAGAGAGTCCTGTCAGCAATAGCGATTATTATTAACAATAGCATGGATGATAACAGCACTGAAGAGGATTAAACTCGATCCATGTTGAAAAAGACTTTTTCCTGAGCTGACTGCAAAGACAGTCTGTGTCTTTGTAGACTAATTATGGCTTGTTAAAAAATAATCAATGGTAAATTAATTTATTCTAGTTGTGTTCTATTTTACAAAACTATGGAATGAGAGCCTGCATAACAGCAGAGCAAGACTGCAGCTGCAGAAGGTAGCACTTGTGTGCCTATCACTCCAGCTTTTCCTGACAGTAACGAAGGTATTCTGAAGCAGTGGGAAAGAAGAGTCAGAAAAGAGTGCTGTGACTGTAATCTAGTAAATTTATTTAAAAGCGAGTCATAGTGGTCGTATTCACCACATCTTCCCATATATTTGCAATTTTTTTTCCAGTCACTTGTATTTAGTATGACCATTTTTTCCAAGAGAAGAAAACTCATTAAAGCAAGTGTCAGGAACAGTGAAATCAGTTAGGCACAAAGTTCCCCTTAAGTCATTCCAAACACACTGTTTGTTGTTACTACAAGTTAAGTAAAACAGTTTCAGATAGCAGTAGGATTTTAGGGTTGACTTCGACCTCTTTCAGTTACACAAGCAGATTATATATTGTTCATCCAGTTATTGACAAACAGGTTATTTGGTCAACACCAATGGAAGAGAAGAAATTTAACAGAAGGAACATAATAATAGAAAACTAGCTGAGCTCTGGGTGTGGCATGCAGGACTTAGCTTCCTCCTGACTCAATACTTGGAAAGACATTTTAACTAGGAACCATCCTTCCTTTTGATTTTACTTGTTTGGTATCATTCTAAGCAAGTTTGACCAAGTCTGTAGGTCATTTTCAAACAGTAGCTGTACAGAGACTGTCACGTGAAGTTTTGTGTGTTACTTGATCTATGAAAAGGTTCTATTTTACCCTTAACACAGATACCTAAATATCAGAGGTCATGATCAAGTAGATGTTTTTTCCCCAGCTTTCATTGCTCCGAGTGAGGCAAGACAAAATATGTTTCCCTTGACTTAAGTGTTAGAAAGCAATGAAAGAAGTTATTTCTCAGTACTTAACCCTGTAGCAATGAAAAAGTACCAGCATACTTCTTTAGCTGATGAGTGGCTCTGGATGTTCTATCTGCTTTGGGATCCTATGAACTGTAAGCCGCTAAATATCTACATTTCTAATTTCTCTACACTTTCTATGAATGTTTCTAGACTAAATTGAGAAAAATAGAGCTATAAAAAGAAAACCTTTCAATTAGCTTATGAAAAAGTTCTTGAGAGATACTTTTAACCTTTGCAATGACTCAAAACAGGCTTGAATTCCCTTTCTAAGTTCTTGTCATTGACTTCACACAAACAAAAATGCATTATTTCTAGTCTCAACTATTGAAATTACAAGGGAGATCAATGTGAAGAAAAATTGGACAAGAAAAATATTAATTATGTTTTATTTGATGAAGTCTTTGAATAAAAGTTCTTATGTCAACAAATGTGAACTATATTTATGGCCCTGTTGGAGATTTCACCAGTTCAACGGCCAAAGGTATCAATCTTAACCACAAGGAAGTTACTTATTAATCAAAATGCAAACCTGTACATGATAATACTTTATTACTTTCTCAATAACACATCTGCAGCCAGCAACCTAAAAACCTCTTTCTGGCACAGCAATGACAACATCATTAACTAACCTCCAGTTCCTTTATTTTCTCTTTAACTAATAAAGATAACCAGATTAACAAAAGTAGCTATGGTTACGATCACAAATACAGTCATATGAGGATATCTGTAATGAACCATGTCAGTCCTGAAGTCAACTCATTCGTATATTTTTAACTATTCTCTCAGTTCCAACACTGCACTTGCTAATACTTTACTGGTTGCTCTCAACAAAATGTCATCACACCACTAACATTAAAGATACTGCAAATACAAGAGTTATTCAGTGGAGGCAAATGCAATCAGTCAGGGGCAGTCCTTCCTCAGAGTGTTTTCAATTAAGGTTCTTCTTATACAGGTACAAAAATGAAAGTACTCTGAAAGTTGTACACAACAAACACCAAACTTTCTTTGTTGCCCTAATGAGTTTATGAAACAATGTGGCCAGGCAACACAACTGACTTACAAACAGGAGACTGATGTCTTCCTGAATAAAACTATAGGTAACTGTTATAACTGCCTCTTATCGATTTGAAACAAAACAAAACAAGAAAAATATGAATCCAATTCCGCCAGAAAGCCATGGTGACACACAAAAAAACTTGCATGCAAAGCTAGGAATGCAAAGGAGATATTACAAGAGCTAACATTAACCATACTAGCAGGCTTTTGACTCACTGCTATTATTTCCTTCAAATTTGTACTTCCTCTTTCATTTAAAGACAGAGCTGAAACTTCTGGTTGGTGACATACTCATATGTGTTATATAATGAAGATGAGGAGTTCTGACTATTTGTGTTTATTAACAACAATTGGTTTTCAAATTACTTCAAGCTTACATTATATTCTTGTTTCTTTTTCAGTCCATGCAACAATAAAACTACAAGCCAGAATGAAATGAATGTTAAAAAGAAACATTTTTTAAAAATGTAATGCTTTCTTAGAACAATCTTGCTCATTCACATGAAATAATACACTAGTGTTTTGAAATTAACAAAATACCTGAAAAGACATTGTCTATCTACAGCAAAATTGTTGCCAAAAAGGCATAATTTCCTCACTGTCTGAAGCAATTCCTTCTATCAAGCTGAACATTCTGAGAGTCCTGCTGCCAGTGACGAAGTTGACATAGTGAAAAAACAAGATGCAAATACTTAGAACTATGACAGCAGAATAGCAGGGAAAGTTTTCAAGTCTGTAGTATCCATCATGGGGAGGTGGATTCCATTGCCTAACTTGTTACTTCTCAGTTTCTATAACCAAAGGTATGAATTTTTTATTTGTACCCTCATAGGTGCAATGAGGATAATATGGTCACTAAGGAGTTCCACTCCAGGCTTTAACTGTGAGTACCAAGCAAAGATGAAAAAATAAGCTTGCTCAGAAAACACAGAATTCTTGTCAGATGGGAAGCAGTCCATTTACTTTAACAATGGAATTGTTCATTACTAAAGAGAATGTAATTACAACATTGAACAGATAGTGTTTGGGGCTCTTTTCTCCTCTTTCAGGACACATTTGTACCACATTAATGTCTGAGACAGTGAATTAGACACACTGAAAACAAGTGGTTTCACTGCTCCCACAGATTGCAGCCAAGTTCCTTCCTTCTCACTGCTGAAAGTTTATCCTCTAATAAATAATTCCCAAGACATCTTGCAATAGGAAGCATTCATGAATGAATGCATTAATAAATGTTTCCTATTGCAGAGCTCCCTGGGATTTCTTTTAATACCTGCAAGGAGTTTACAGACCCTCATTAGTTACATTAAAAAAAGGAAATTTGCTACTTCTGAACACACTATTTTGCCCTGTTTCAAAACATCATGGCAGACAACTAAATGCTGGCATGAAACAAAGCCAATGACCCGTTATGTACTTACCATGTACCACATGCTTGGCCACTTGGGATCATTGAAATAAGTGGATTGGGTACCTCCAGGTTTATAATCCCTCTTTATCCTTCTTTTAACCACCTGCTGTTGTATCCACTCCACCTGCCAACCAGGAAAACATTTGGTAAGTGTTAGGGTTTCATAGAGATTATCAAGAAATGTGTGAAATCTTGGGAAGTTTCCCATTACCATACTCAAAGACATATTTCATGTTAAGGAGTTCATTTTGGCAGTCGAAATGCACAGCTCACCTTGGCATATGGTTCACTAGGGAATAAGCCCAATTCTGTTAGTGCTACAAATCTCCCTGAACAACTACTTATATCTCCTGCTAGAAGAATTTCATTTGCGATCATCTTTTGAATGCTGTTATTTTTTTTTCATTATTAGAATTGAACTTTTTTTCAAATTTGTAAAACTAGTTTTATAAAGTGTAACAGTAGATCACAAGCAGAAATAAATTATACTTCTGTTCTTTGTTTTAAGTCTGTTTCTGAGAACAAAAGCTTTCAGTAAAATATTAAAATATTCTGCTTAACCAATATCTAAATCATCTTCACTGCTTGGAGTGAATACAACAGAATTAAAATATATATTTTAGTAGAGTAACTCTGCGTCAAGATTCTCTCTGCCAGGCGCTCCAGAACATAATTTAGTGCAAAGTACTAGTACAGGGAGAAAAAGACCGATATTGAGCAAAAGGTCAAATTATAACAACATGAAAAAGAACTTGAAACATCAAAGTTAAGGGTTAAAAGCAGAGTTCTTAAAATCAGATTATTTTCTGTCAGATACCTCTTCGTAGATTCACAACACACTCAGAAAGAGCAAGACTGAAAGTGACATCAGCCTCAGAGCAGACAGGACTGCAGGCATTTTGGCATTGGCTAGTCTAAGTGGGAGCTAGTTTCCATGAATGTGAACAGCATAACTATCCACATAGAAAGAAAGAGATTATATTTACACATCTATCTCACTTAAACTTCATATTTTTCCTGAATTGTTTCATGGGATATAACTATAAAAATTGAATTCACCTCTTTCCAAGCAAGACAGCTATTTCCTCTTAGCAGCCAACTCTTCACCTTTTATTTCTGCTGTTCATGAATATCTGTGTATGCACACACACACACACACACATATATATATAGAATAAGTTTACTTTCAGGTCACATGTTTCTCTTTGTCACTTGTCAGAGACAGTATTCACATTTTTCCATGGCAGGATAATTTCTACTGTATCTGCAATTCAGCTTCAAATCATGAGGTCCTTAGAGAGACTTGTCCACTGACATCGGTGGAAGTTCTGCTTGAGATCCATACTACCTCTACCTTTACCATTGCTACTACATGGTTTCCATAGTTTCTTTTAGAAAATGGAATTGTGTTTTTCCCTTTCTTAAGAATCAACTTCAGGGTTAAGAGTATTCTACCAGTGAAGAAATTGTCTGGTTTAAGAAGACAAGACTATGAGGTAATGTTCATGCAGAAATCCATTTCTCTGTTCTTCTATTAACCACTGTAAATCCTTTTCAGCTTCAGAGAAAATTGAGGTATTTGATAGAGTGCCTTTTCCTCATGATTACTCTGCTCCTCTTCCGGACCAAGCTGCAATCCATCTTGGTAGACACTCTCTTGATGATCTGACAGCTGGCTGCCCTTCAGATCTTATGAGATCCAGAGATCCCATCAAGTGGACACCCACTCAGCCTTCTGTATGTCATGCAGTGGACTCTGGAGGGAATGTGAGATGTAGAGTGTATCTGGCCAGAGGCAACAAGAGGGAGAGCCAAAAGACTGAAGAGGCTGCTCTAAAGTGTGATCAACATCCCTCTTAAATGGATCTCTCCTCCATGACAAAGACTGATTTATAATTAACATTTAATGAACCCTATCTCCTTGTCACCTCCTGCCAATATATGGTCTCTTTTTCAGACCCTCAGAACAGCTTTTTTTTTCTTTAAAGTTTAATCCCTTGCCGGTGGCCCAGCCCTCCCATCACATCTGAAGCCGGATGAAAGGCTGTATACCACTTGATCTCAGTAGCTGCCTGGATTGCCTCAAACCATGGACCACAATTCCACCAATTTATGCTAGTATTTAGCAACCAATAACAAAAAAGATTCAATGTGTCTGAACAATCAAATATGATTTTCAAGGCTTATACAGTTCCACCTTCTAAATCTTATCATGAGATATATGTAAGAAGGAGAGGGGTTTTCCTCACAAGACAAACTGCAAAACTCTTTAGCAGTAACTGTGAAAATACGTTCTCTCCATTTATTTACTCCCTATTCAGCTGCAAATATCTACTGATTGTTAAAAAGATAAACAGTAGAGGCATCATAGTACTTGCTGAGAGTGAACATCCATACACTTATGCCTCAAAAAACCCCCAACAATTAATTCATTCTCTCTTTTCCTGTTATGCCAGATGACATTACTGAGAATATTTATCAGACAGCCCTTTAGTTTAAACAATCACAAATATTGTCTCAGTGTGCCATTCCAGTTAATATGAACAATAATAAGACAAATAAACAATTCTGTATATGCATATACATAAATATTTTTGTACAAGCATGTGTTTGTACAGGAGCTTGGATCATCTGATTTAATATTCAATAATATGCAATCCAGCATAGCTGATGGTTAAGATTTTAGTGACGTACAGATAGATATATACCACCTTTTAACAAAAAAATGAAGTGACTGTTCCACAGATTGTGTATTTGTCAGAGAGCCTGCCCCTAAAACATGCTAGATGTTGCCTATAATTTCTGTTTCCTCAGCTCCCAGAAAAGTTAAGGGAAACATATGAAAGAGTAATTCTGCAGAAGGACTGTACAGCATGCACAATCAGACCCAATGCCAGAAAAAGAAATGTAACTCTTCCCATAAAGCCTAATGACAATTTCATGTACACGTAAAATTACTATAAATAAAATAGCTGTTTGGTCTCATTCAAATACAGATTTATGCAAATAAAATGTTTGCATAAGAACACATATGGGAAGATAGCACGGGCAGCTCCATAATCATAGATACGATGTACACTAGGAGGACTCACCTTAGGCACCTGCAGATATCCAATTAAATAGAAGGGGAAGAGGGAGTCAGAATGACCTTTAAGATACAGTGACTGTGTACTGTGTTGAGAGAGACAGTGCAGGATGCTAGCCAGAGTAAATCTAAGCAATACAGCAGGCTTGATCACAATCCTGGGTATAGCCTTCTCTGCAAGATTTTTATCAAACAGCTTCAGTCAGGATCTGCTTAGTAACTATTTTTATACTGAGGATGCGCTGATACACCCATCTAGGATGTAATTTAAAACATTCCAGGAAACCCATTTTCTCATTTGAGAAGTCAGTGCATAAAGCTTAGTTTATAGAAAATATCACTGCTACAGAAACAGAACACTCTACTGAATACTAAGGCTAGTTTATTTTCTTTTAAAATTGAAGAGAAAAACTTGCCAGTAGTCTTTAGTCTAAGTTACACTATACAATTACTGGGATATATCAATGAAGACTAGGACAAGACTCAGCAGTTATTTTAGCATTTCCTTTGAGTATTTTATGGGTATATTCATGCACGTGTCACTGTCAAATGCCTGGTACATCTTGAATTTGTTTGATTCGGTATGAAAAGAGCTCATTTGTATAAAAATATTTTCTTTTAAGAAGTTTCTACACTTCCTAAACTATAGTCCTTGAAGGAAAATCTCTGAAGTAATTGATTATACAGATTCCCATCTCTTGCCAAAAGGAGACTCTATGCGAACAATGAGGTGCATTTTAACATTTCCATAAAGTCACACTTGCTGAGGGGGAACAGTGCACATTTTCCCATTGACTTCAGCTTTGAAAGTTCCATTTCCTGAATGTCTAGAAATCAAAGCCAAGCCAGATTGGAGACCAAACCATTCAAAAAAAAAAAAAAAAAAAAAAAAAAACATAATTTCCAGTCTCCTCACTCACAGGCTTGTTCTATACACAACACAGCTCTTCTTCACAAACCTGCATGAAACAACGCTATGGAATAAAAGTTGCTCCGAGCTTATTCTAGTACATCATGCTTTCATTCTCTGTAGGCATAAAGAATATAATGAAATGTTATCTCTACGTGAAACAGAACTGCTTTCTACAACCTTCGTTCTCATTTATTTAACAGAACGCATGAAAAAGCAGGCCCATGTATGCATGCAACAGTAAGAACTCTACTGCAATAAATTGTGAAAAAAACTTTGAAAAACAAATGGGAAAACTTAAAAAGCTGAAAAAAAGAAAAATCCACCTATTATCAAATCAGGGTGTTTTTTAAAATACAAACACGAGATAACCTTGTGAAACAGCACTTACTTCATTTTTCAAATATGTCATGAGGAGGTCTGCTTGAATAAATATTTTCAAATTGATTAAAAATGTGTCAAGTTAAGCATGTGAAAATGTTACCATTAAAAAGAAGGTATGAAAGCAAGTTGGAGGCATATACCTTTCCATTTTGAGGAAAGAATGCACAGGGAAGGAACACCCTAACTCTGAGTAATGTATGCATTTCACATCAAAATCTATTATTTTTATGTTGCAGAACTAAAAAAAAAAAGATGTGAGTATTCAGTTTATGAAAAGGAATTGCTTAAGGTGCCACTCTCAAACATAATCACAGCATCATTCACTTCAGTCTGTCCTGCACCTCTAAGAAATTACAAATTCCTGCTCAGCTAAAATGAAAGCAAGTGTCAGATGAACATTATAAAGAGAAAGAAAGGACAGAAAACTCAGAGCACATGGAAAGTATCACCAAGCTAGCAGTGAATCTGCATGGAGTCAGGCTGAATGAGCAAAAGGGGCAACATTAAACCATGCGACAACCTGCTCTCTGTTGGGATGGCTTCACACTGCACCTGCTGCACCTCAGCCTTCACTCCTAAACACTGAGTGCTGAGTGAACTGGGTCTGTTCAGCCTTGAGAAAAGGAGACTGAGAGGGACCTGATCCAGGTCTATAAATATCTAAGGTGTGGGGGGCAGAATGGCGAGGCCAGACTGTTTTCAGTGGTGAGTGGAGACAGGACAAGGGGAAATGGCCAGAAACTGC